CTGCTCAAGTTCGCCCTGGACGAGTTCAACGATGCGTTACTTCTCAACGATCAGCGCATATTCCCTCTCGATCCCATGCCTCTCAACATAAACGCGAAGCAGGTCCCCACCGAGGTGGAGCAGGAAGAGACGGATGCGGATTCCGAAGACGCCTCAAATCCGAACAAGCATAGCAGGATAATGTTCCCCCTACAATACGAGCATACCATCTTCCGCGCTGAGGAGCCTGAACTTTGGTGGCTTCAGTTCAATGTGACGGGCTTACCCTGGGGGGAGACCGCTGAACCAATCAAGTTGGGTCAGAGGATTGTTCAGATCTTGGTGCGCAAGGAACACGATGGGAATATGGAAGGTGGATATATACTCTCCATCGAAGAAGTACTAGTCGTCTCCGCAAAGGGTAAGATGCCACCGCCGAGCATGAGGTGTGGCAAGCTGGCCATGATGCGAACAACGTTTGATCCACGTGAGTGGGACGAGTACGGTAAATTTGGCACGTTGTCGAGGGCCTGGAACGCTTTTGTTGGCAAAATACAGGTTGGAAAGGATGCCCTACTTCTCCCGCTCCTTGCACTGCTTGCGGCTAGCCTCGTCATGGCACGTCGCCTGTTTCTGCAGAGACAGCAGGAAAAGCCTGGCACAGACTCAGAGGCCGAGACTGCTCTGTTGGGCCGAGGTGCGCCTCCGCCATACGCAGACATACCTGTGATCAAGATTGAAGAGTATGATTAGTTCAAACAAGTCTGGAGGCTGGAGCGCAATCAAAGCAAGCGGGTCGGAGTCTTGCCCGTATCTCCGCGTTGCATTCGCCCTTTGTGCGCAAGCGGCATCTTGGCTCTATGTACCACCTTAATCTCGGGTTTCCGCTATCTTGCTTGTCTCTGCGCTCTTTTCATGCTTTTTGTTACACCGACATTCTTGCTCCTGCACCCCTCGGGCGCGCCCGGGTGAGAAGCGAGAGCGTTCCACAAGCTCGGTAGGTTTAGCCGACACATTCACCTGTTCAACCTCAACCAGGCGCCAACGACTTGATCATTGCTTTACTATACGCCTCCCTTATATCGTCAAGTATGTCCGTCATCGTCGAGCAATACAACAAGGAATGGCCGCAGCAATTCGAAAATATCAAGTCGGAGTTGGAACATCACCTACAGGACATCGACTACCTCTCAATCGAGCACGTGGGTAGTACATCAGTACCGGGACTTGTCGCCAAACCTATCATCGATGTTGACATCATAGTCACTCGCGACAATGTTCAGCCCGCTATCGACGCTCTCATCGAGAAAGGAAAATTCGATTACCTTGGAGAGCTGGGGATCGTGGATCGCCATGCCTTCAAAGACCCTAACCAAGCCAATCGCCACAACGTTTACCTTTGTGTTGACGGTGTTGCACAAACGCGCAACCACCTCAGCCTGCGAGATACGCTACGCTCTGACAGCGACTTGAGGAATGAGTACGCGCGTGTGAAGCTGGAACTCGCGGCAAAAGCAAACAACATCGTCGACTACATGGTCGCCAAAGGGAATGTTATTCAGAAGATTCTCAAAGCCTCTGGTGCCTTCACCAAGGAGGAACTCGCAGCCATCGCCCGCGCAAACGTTAAAGGCGAGCGCTTCGGTGCCATCAAGACACCCCGTCTGCTCCTTCGCGAGTTCGTAATGAAGGACGAGGAAGGCTACTTTCTTCTCGAAAGGAACGATCAAAACGCACGTTACCAAGAGTGGCCCCCACGAACACGCCAACAAGCTCGTGAGCTCGTCTTGGAAAACATCCGCAACCACAACGACGTGCCGCGAACAAAGTACGAACTCGCCGTCGAGACGCTCGGCGAACAATTCATCGGCCGCGTTGGCGCCAAGACATCTCAAGCCAACTCCGACTCCCTTCCAGGTGAACATACCATCAAGCCTGTTACCCACGCCAAACTCTGGTTCTCCTTCTTGCCGTCAATGCAAGGCCAGGGTTACGCTACAGAAGCCATGACAGCTTTCATCGATGCCTTGAAGGAAAGACTGCAGAATCAAGGGAAGCTGGAGATGGAGATTGAGTGCGATCCTAGGAATGAGGGGAGTTGGAAGCTGGCCGAGAGGTTGGGGTTTGAGAGACATAGCTTGACGAAGGAGAAGACGCAGATCAAGGGCGAGTGGGTGGATAGTCTGGTTTTGAGGAAGATTGTTGGGGATGTGTAAGTGGTTCAGTGTTGATGTTTATGTGAAGGAAATGCTAACGTGTGATAGGGCTTTTGCGTCGAAGCATGTAAGGAGAGGAAGTAAGGTTAGCAGCAGTATGCGGTTGAGTGCGACGGAATTGTTTGAGAGTTGTCATTGATGACCTTACAAACGCGTGTTGCGGATCGGTGAAGGCATGACTTCTTGGCCTCGGTCTTCTTCTAGGTACGCTTCAGGTCGATACTTGATACGGTATGAGAAAGCAGAAAGCAGGTTTATACCCCTCACTCCAGCTACCGTTCCGCTGATACTTGATGCCCAAACACACCAGACGTGAGTCTAACCCACGAACCCAAATCATGCACATGAACAACACTTCCAAACGAGCGACTAAATCGATACATCAAAAGAGTGTGGAGTTGCAAGAACTATAGCAAGACGATATGTACACCAAAACGACCCCCCTCCTCGAGACCACACTCAGCAGTATTTCGTCTACAATCTCTGCGACCATGCTACCCCATCGCCAAACCCTACCGCCCCCCTCTTGCGCCCCCTGCCCCTACATCTCATACCCATCTAGATAGGCGTAACAGCACTAATATCAATCAAAGTAATCGGCTCAAGATCATTCGGCGTAGGCGCCGCAGCTGCATCCCCTCCATCCGTAGCCGTAGGAAGCGTGATCAACGTGATCGGTGCAAGACCATCGCTCGACTCCGTAGTCGTAGCTGCCTCGGTAGGCAGCGTGATCAACGTGATCGGTGCGAAATCATCGCTGGTCGTCGCTGGCCCACTGTAGAGGAAGAGGTACGAAATTAGTATTTGTCTCACATGCACTTCGTAGAGTCAGAACTCACTTCACGTTCGTGGTCGTGACGTTGGGGAACGTGCCGTTTGCGGTGGGAAAGGCGGTGACGGTGACGGTTAGGGTTGTTGTTACGGTGATGGTATGAGTACCGGACCAGGACTTTGTTCCCCAGTGTGCGGCGCGGGGGTGGAGGTCAGGGGTGAGGCGTTTGAGGGGGGCGACGAGGGCGAGGGAGGGGGGGAGCAGGGGGAGCAGGAAGAGAGATTTCATGGTGAAGAGTGGTGATGGAGTGAAGGTTGGAGTCTTGGTTGATGAGATGAGGGGATGGAACGAGAAGGATGGGATATATAGTCCTTGGGCTTTGTTGGAGTACGTCAACTCGAGGCTGGATGGACAGAGGACAGTGGTTTGACGCGTAAACCTGCAGAATTCTCCTGAAGGAAGTAAGCCACGGAGTACACTGAGGATGCGCCTCTAAGACGCCTTCTGCTGCTTCAAGCAAGTCGCTGTACGCGTATCCAGTGATATCCATCAACTGTTCGTAAGACCACGTGTCGTAGCAAGCCACCTTCTCAGAAAGGAGCCCATATCACACTGGCACCTTATCCTCATGTTTACGTGTGTCTTGCAGCAATACTCAGGCTCATGTAGCCGCCAAGACTACGCGTACTAGATGGGCGTCGGACTTCGCGTAGTCTGACTTCCACAAGCACAGTGTTCACTCGCATGTCCGTATCTACGAAAGCGCCTACAGCGGACCTTTTGCGAAGTCCGTTACTCGTGTTACTTGATCTCTCGCTGACATGAAGAGCTCAAACGTGCAGCCGTGAAGATAGGTGGACTGTCGCTAGGGGACTTTGGTGCGAGCGCACTCGATCTGGATAATGCTTGTGCTGTGTGACACACATGCCTTTCCAGAGAACGGATCGCCACGGACTGAACAATTAGATGTAAATTTGGTCGTGATTGCCGATGGATGAGCGATGCTCAGGACAACCTTGGAAGGTGAGGAGGCTGGCACGTGGCTGAGCCTGGGCGCATCTGCCTGGTTCTGCGTATGATGTCATGAATTCCCTCCACCCGGCCTTCATCATCTCGGGCTCTGCTTTCACACTTGGACAGTCGCGATAACACGCAGGACTGGCTCAGCCCGCCTTCTTCATGGCTCCACACGCGCTCAGATACAGTGTCCTCGTCTATGCTCCGATGAGCTCCATCTGCCTCTTAGCGTGTTTCTGATCGTCAAGTGACATGACAGCTTGGAGGCAAATAGAGCACTTATCCAATTACGAACAAGTCTACAAAGGAGAAGATTTCCGAAGCTTAGAACGCACCAGTCATTGCCGAAAAAACAATGTTACAGTCGACGGAAATGGCTAGCGCAGAAGCGCTCCATTTATAGCGCTTACATGTGTAGCCCTGGGGTCCGTAAGATCAGCCTGGTTGTATATACCGACGAAGTAGTCACTGGCCCCAAATTCTTACATTTGGGTGCAAAATGGCCAGGAGTAATTGCAAGGATATCGCCACCTGTGAACAGATGATTCTATCATGCAATGCCTCGATAAGTGCATCATGTTCCATCTATCTCTTCTCATCATGGCGCACATCCAACAAGGCTGAAAAGCGGCATGCTTACGGCGGTATAACAGGACTCATTGAGTGCGGCACGCTCATTGGACACTATTTAAAGGATGGCCCAACGGAAGAGATCTATTGGTGCCCGCTCGTATCCCAAGCTGAGTAGCCAGCCTTCATATCTTATAACTCAGCTGCGATTGGGAATAGGAATTCTACTCACTCTCCCACCTTTTGAAACTTCTTGCCTGGCTATCATGCCTTTCAAAGATATCATGCCTTTCAAAGAAATCAAGCCTTTTTTCAAAGAACTCAAGCCTTTTTTCAAAGAATCAGTGCACGAATCAATAAACCCAGAAGTATTACTGGCCTTAGGGCAAACACGGAAGAGCCTCCATTCTAAGCTCGATGGTGTAGCTCTTCGTAAGCCGAAGGAGATGTTCTTGGTAAAGTTACTCTTGTTTTATTCTTCGTTTGGAGTTACTAACATCTTACAGCGTATGCGAAGCGAGAGCTACACATACGAGTCTCTACCCATGCCCTCGAGTATCCGCATCCTTCAGATAGACCCGGGAGCCCCTTCCGATCCGATTACTTGCCACTTCCGTATCGTAAACCTGGACGACCGCCCAAGTTTCACCGCCCTTTCATATTCTTGGCAGATGGACCCTTCGCTGGCCACAAATGTCGTGTACCCATTGCTCTTATGGCGTACAATTCCAGTCATTTCATTGCCTTATGAATGGCTCACTAAGATACTTTTGGGAGGCGACAATGGCATCGACGATGTCTGGCAGAGGTTCTTGCAGGAAGTCGAAGGTAGATGGGCGGACTACAACAAGGGCAAGGAAGGAGACGAGAAGCCCATATTTTGCGACGGCAAAAAGATCATGATACATGCCAATCTTTACGAAGCCATGGTTCGCTTACGGTGTTTACGACCTACTGAGTACTGGATTGATGCCGTGTGCATCAACCAAGAGGATCTGAGCGAGAAAACCCAGCAAGTCCAGATGATGGGAAGAATCTATGGTTACGCGGAAGAGGTGGTAGTCTGGCTGGGTAACGTGACGAGCTTCGCAGCCTACCCCTTTCAGACATTGTTCTCAGTCTTTGGGTCAGAGTTGGATGAGAGAGATACTGCACCAGGATATACGACAGACGACTCAGAGATTCGAAGGGATTCAGAGGGGGTAGTAACAGACGAAAAGCTTGACGCAATGGCCAAAGAACATCACCAGGAAAGAGACCTCTTCGAGTTAACGCTCACCTCAGCCGCCTTTGCACTCCTCACTCGTCGTTGGTTTCGTCGCCTATGGGTCGTACAAGAGTCACGTCAGGCTCGTCAAACTCTATTCTTACTTGGCGAAACCCAGTTCAGGGCCAATCTCATCTCGTCGGTGCTGCGGTGGGTTGAATACAAGATTAAAAGATCGCCGATTAGTCCTACGTCCGACCCACTTACGTGTGTGTCCATATGGCATTCCCACATCAAGCACATCCCGGCGATGCTAAGTTCTATGAATTCATCTCATGACGAAGAAAAGTGGACTTTGCAGCAGTGGCTACAAATGGCAAAGAGTCGAAAAGCCGGTGATGCCAAAGATGTGGTATTCGCAGGTCTGTCTCTTATACGGTCCGAGCATCTGACGATTGACACGTCGTTGCAGGCTCGAGGTCGGGGCTTCCATTGCCGCAATCCGAAGGGGCGAGAGCAAATGCCGTCATCAGAAGGACAAATGAAGCTATGGGACATGTTACATGCCGACTACAATGCCGAGACTTCGACTGTACTCTTGAACCTCGCGGCTTGTATCCTTTCACATTACGATCTATCTACTCTATTAGACACTACGTTACGATTTCGGCGTCCCCCGTCACACGCGGCGCTCACCGAGCTACCCTTTACTTCATTCCCATCATGGATACCGGATCCGAGAGCATGGACCTCGAAAGCTTTAGAACCTGTGATATCGCGCAACAATCATGGCCGTCCGTTTCCGGTCTCTGCGCACATGTCGAACTTCAAGCCACAGATATCATTCGATGGCACTAAGTTGGCTGTGACAGCTGCTCTTTTCGACACTGTATCCCACTGCTGTCCAATCCTGGACATCGTACTCAACATCAAGGACTGTGCGGGCGCTATCAGGGTGCTCGACTGGATAGCTGACACAGTTCCTCGCGTGTACCATCCAACCGGATGTTCAGGAATAGAGGCTCTGGCACGCCTAATAGTATCGGCTTACGCAAACCCGAAAGACCCCGAGAGGCAATGGGAAGAGGACACTATGGCGCGCAGGTTCTGCAAGATGCTTCATGAGCTGATCGAAGGTGTCGTAGGAGATGGTGTCAAAAAGTGGAACAAGGTACTTGACTCTCTGCCCACATGGTTACCCACATGGTTAAAATCTTTTCCCTGGCCTTCAGGCTGGGCTATCGATTACGATGGTATATTCAAAGCGTACGCCAGGATCAGAGCGAATCATCCAGACGCTCCTTGGCCACCAAGCAATCTTGCGGGTTCAGAAAGGAAGGAAGTCATCGATGAGACAAGAGACATCCTCCCTGACACCTTGACAGGGATCTCCGAGACCAACATAACTAGACAAGAAAGTCCCCACTTTGATGAACAAAGTGACTCATTGCGAGACACCGGCGATGATTGGAACGCTCGTGAGTTTCCCGGGGACTGGGTGCTAGACGTGCTCAAGTACAATTCCGGAATAGCATTGCAGAGCTTATTCCTCACCAAAGAGGGTTATCTCGGGATCGGTCCAAATTGGCTGAGGAACGGCGACGGGGTCTTCTTGGTAGCGGACGCAAAAGCCCCTTACATACTCGCGCAGGTGGACGATGTCTTGCAGAGGCAGGCGCGCGAGATACGTGAGCAGCTTGACACTGGCAAGAGCAGGTCTGTCAAGCTAACAAACGAACAACGCAAGAGCTTGCGGGAACAACTGCTTGAGATTGAGAGTAGGCCTCAAGGAGAGAGCGCATGGCAGCTGGTAGGAGAAGCATATGTGGAAGGTGTAATGAATGGCGAGGCTGCTGGACTCGCGGAAGCTTGGGCACAAAGGTACGATATCGCGTAGACATGGAGACATGGAGACATGGAGACGCGGTTATATTTCGGTACATGTAATTGAATGAATGTTTTGAGAATCTTTGGTGCAGCTCGAGCAACATGAGTCACGCGGTGCGTGCTTTATTGACATCTAGTGGACTGGCACTAGATAAGTGATGAACAGACTTACGTTACTATTACAACACCAGTGGTCAGATGCCGCATCCTTTCTCATACCTCATCGAGTTCCACCTGCCTTCTACCGCATTTTCCAATGTGCAACCGCAATGATGATATCCTCATGCAGAACTATTAGTACTCACTGACTTACGGAGGAGGCCTCAAAATGATCGTGATGGCAGGGCCTGATGGAAGTGGCCAACGCCGAAGCGGCATATTTCAATCAGCAAGATCTGGGTTTGTAACATTGGTCTGTTTACCTATCCTTGAAACAGTTTCCTGACCTCCAGGATCCCTTATTCAGACTCACGCGGCCGCGACTGATCGCACCGCCAACATAGACAGCGGAGCTGGACGTCTCAACAGGACGAACCGAACGGCGCATGTACGTGTTACAAAACAGGACTGTTCGACGGCACAAGACTCCTCTAAGCAAGGTGTCTTCACACATTCCTGGAATCGGTTTGTCAGAGCCCCGTTCGTGACAAGAGCTGGGCACACCTTTAGTGCGTGCATTCACAAGGCTCTCGCGGGTACTATGGAATATACGCCGACATCATCACTCTTGTTAATTAGGGTCATCTGCATGCTCATCTGCTTCAACGGTATTGGCATACTGGTGTGTTTGCGACGTCCTTCCTTCATATAAGAACAGGTCCGGCAGGTTATTTGTCTTTCCAGCATAAGTTCCACTATCTACACTCGAGAATCACTGACTTCATCTATTACTAACAAATAGTTACCATGTCTACATCTTCGAATCCAGATCTCGACCATGTCGATAACACAACACATGGACCTGTCCGACCAGCTAAGTCCGATGGACCCGATTCAGAACGTTCTGTGAACGCGGTCCCGGTCATGGACCCCTCACACCCGGATTACCCTCCGCTTCGTCACACTCCGGTTTATTCTCCACAGCCTCATGTGAGCCTCGCAAGTGCAGACGCAGATGGACATGTGATTCGGAAAGGGTATCCCTCTGTCACAGCGCCTGCTGGTCAGCTACATGGCGATACTGTACCGCAGACGGCAGACTACAAGATATGCAGAAAGAATCCCCCTAAAGAAGCCGAAAACTTCGAAAACGCCGAGGAATTCGACGACTCCGATGACTCGGATGAAGGCGCCGATTGGGATAAGAAATTCCCAGCTGGCATCCCACGGCTGGCTGAATACATGGCTCGCGTGCCTGAGCGGGCTATTTTCCGTACCTTCCGAACGCTCGGCGTGCAGAATCTCCTCTTCATGCAAGCAGAGATCGACTATCTGGAGTGGAAGCTTCATAATGTAATGACTAATTTCAGAGAGGGAAAAGGCGGCATTACTAAGCTCTTGTGTTAATAATACTTCTCTTTTTAAGAGAACCTAATTAAATAAGTATATATAGATTTTAAAAGTTATAAGTTACTTATTTACGTTACTACTATAGTACTATAGAATAAAGATAAAGAACTAAAGTATTATATTATACTTAAATATAAGTTAGAAGAGAAATATAAAATAGTTACTACTACTATATTTTTATTACTTATATAATACATATATAACTATAAATAAACTAATTATTACTACTACTTTTTTAAGCTTTAATATCTAGCTTAGCTTTTATAGCTATATAGTACTTATAGAAATCTTTTTTAAGTTTCTCTACTTTAGATAGTTTACTACTATAAGTAGAGATATATTATAAGTAAAAAGGTTTTTTCTTACTTATATTCTTTCTTTTCTTAAAAAGTAGATTATAAATATAAAAGAGTATTACTTCTATATTAGCTACTTTTAAAGTATATTATAGCGTTAATATTAAAGATATAGCTAACGTATTAGAAATAATTAATAATAAGGCTTTTTTTATAGCTAAACTAGTAGCACTAGATAGCCTTCTTTAATAACTTTAAATACTTAAGTATACTCTAGTATTTATAAAATAAGAGTTTCTAGACTTTACTACTAACTTTATATATAATCTATAAAAGAGATAAGTTAACTATATTTTTATAGGCTATAGTATAAAGATTATAGACTTTAAGAATTAGAAAGTTATAAGATAGCTAGCTAAAGTAAATAGAATATATTATAGAATATATAATTATATAGGTAATAATAGCTATAGGTAAGATATAAGAGAGGCATTACTAAAGAATATGCTACAGATTGGGCTTGGAATACAATGGAGGATTCCGCCAAACTATAGCCCAAGCAGTACTATTTCATTATGCAGATTCGTGAGAAGCTTGAGAAATACGGTAAACTTATCATTCAATCTGTGTGACTATGGCGCTAACCCACGTATAGAAGAAGCACTTCTGCGACAACATATGCTCGCCAAGATCGCAGCGCCCGATCATTTTGATCTCGACCAGATTAAATCCTACAACGTGTCTCGCGCTACACGCGATAACTGAATTTTTCACCACAAACCTCTTTATGGCCTTCCTGAAGACTGTGTCAAATATGATCGGTTCCATGGACATGTAGCTACGGACCTGATTTCACTCAAGTCCCGCGAATTCAGCGACTACTTTACTTTGTGGGTCTGCGAGCGGTCACTTACCATAATCAGAATTTTTGGGAGATTCTTGGAAAAGTCTAAGTTCGGTGGCAGTCCAGTAATTTACGACAGCACTCTCAGAGAGTGCACCCATGTCTTCACGGCAGTGCTTGCGAGTCTAGTGCCTGTCGCTGTTGCATACATCTCTCAGCAGGAAAGAGATATGTCCCAAATTGTGGTCATGGCGTCGACAAACCTTCTGTTATCGGGCTGTATGGTCTACTTTGCGGACGCGGGAAAAGTGTATCTCTTCCTCGCTGGTATCTTGTAAGTATTTTGCGAAAGACGTAGGTAACGTGAACTGACTGTCGCACAGGTTCTCCATGTTTCAGTTGTTGATGATTTCGAAACAGTAGTCAAAGGTGGAGGAGTTGCCGTCTTGTACGCATGTCTGGATGGAGGTCAGCTGGGCTGATAACGCTACATGATAATCTCCATATCGTCACTGCAAGGCGCGCTAGCAACTACAAGCCTTTCCTTAGTAATCAGCGAACTCAATAGCTCAATGTCATGTATGTTTTCTGCGATCTTCTTGGGTCACATCCAACAAGCATAAGCTACGTCATTACCCTTCTCCACACGTCTCTACTGGTCCGTGGGGATTCCACGCTCTTCACTCCGGGCTGCGGAAGTTTGCGTCGGATCCACCTCTATACCCTCTCATTCCTTCCAAAGCTGACTGCAACTTCTCACACCACCGCGATGGCGGCTCTACACCCCAACGCTTAGAGATACACGAGCAACTCCGCTACGACCAAACAACATGGAAACACCGCCATTGGCCTGTGCCCAATTCATACGCCGCTGCTTGAAGCTGTGCAGTGAGCGCAACCCACCCCAAGAAGCCCACTGTCCGATATGTACAGAGGAATACGATCGCAGCAATCACAAAGCAATACGCGTCGTTGTCCAGCCACCCGCCCAGTGCAACCACGAATTCTGTCAAGCCTGCCTCGAGAAGATCTTCGCCCGTCGCAAAACCCAAGACAACACCAACCTCTGTCCGCTGTGTCGCGCCGTATGGTTCAGAGCTGAATATGAAAGCCTTTCGGCGCGCAGTCGGCGTTTGACAGAGGAGGCTACAGAGGTTCTTAGAGCTGGTGACTCCGCACCTTCCCTCTTCGCGGGCGTGCCCGAAGGCCCTGCGGGCGAAACCATGGCAGATTCTACCGGGAGAGATACGGATCCAATACTACAGCCTGCACGTACACCCCGGCCTTACGCGCGAACTAGCCAGCCCCGTCCGTCTGTGACTCAGTCACTTACTGCATCCAGAGAGACTCGCTACAGCGGAGACTGGCGCACTGAGCCCGTCTTCACTCATCGTGAGTTCCACGCTGCACTCGCCGCAGGACAAGCAACAGCCGGACAACCAACGCCCCAGTCTGCGTCTTCAGGGCCTCACACATCCTCTCACCCCACCCGTCCAACCCCCCAACCCTTCCAATTCGGCCAGCAACGCACTCCATCCTCAGCGCCTCCACACAGAGCACAATTCAACTACCCTCCAGACGAAACAAACTCCACAAACTCCACATGCCAAGATTCACAGAACAGAGCAGCGCCACCACATGGTTTCCAGTCGCTCGAGTTCCAACGACGTTCAGCCGATCTGGATGCGCGCGAAGCCCGTCTGACACAACGGGAAGGGGAGTTGAGAAGGATGCGTCAGGCGTTGGAGCGGCGAGAGCGGGATTTTAGTACTTTTTGTGAGAGAGGTAGACTGCTGTTTCGGGGCCGGGATGAGGGTGGTTGAGAGATATAGGGTGGGGGCGGATATGGGAGGATGGGGTTGTGCAGTTTGTGTTTTTAGGCTCATGAAGTTAGTGCTGATTGCTTCATGAAGCTTTGGTGCGATTGGATTGTTCAAGGGAGCGCAGACGACGGATAAGGTTCTCAAGTGTTATTGGAATTCTAGAGATTGGCTGGATGGGAACAGGATGCGGATACTTGGTGATAATCACAGTTGTAGCTACAATGGGTTCGCTACTTTAGGCCACTGGCATTTGCTGGAAAGTACAGCAAGAAGCGCTTTCACAATGGGATCGTTTGACAGACAGATGTTCACACCTCGATAACATGGGAAGATAGCAATTATTAAGCTTATTGCATGGATATTTCGCATCCAAATGATACGGGATGTCTACCCTGGATACTGGGACAAGCCAGATCTCGTGATCGTGATTAGCTCGCTATTCCATCAACTCTTGCATAAACTCTTGCCCTTCTACATCCTCCGGAAATTGGCGGTAAATTGCATCATCTCAACGTGCAGTAAGATCCTGTCCCTTTCAGCGCGCAGTATTTCCCTTTGCCTCTCCTCCTGCTGGCGTTCGAAGTTGATACACAGAAGCTCATTGAGATAATGGCTTTGATTCCAGAGACGAGTCAGTGTTGCCCTGAGGGCGCGGTCTTCATCCTGGATAGTCGGGTCCGGGCGTACGACTTGAAGAGCCAGGCTTATATGCCCCCCACCCTCAAGTGGGGGAATAGCGATTGTTTCGATGTTTTGCAGAATATTGCTGACTTCGGTTAAGTTGGCCCAGTGCCTATCGCGTTGTTCACGCTGTTGCGGACTGAGGACTTGTTCAGCTTCCTCCCATTCCCATTCCCATTCCTCTTCCTGTTCCTGTTCCTGTTCCTCCTCTTCTTCCTCTTCTTCCTCTTGTTCTTCTTCATGTTCTTCTTCAAATTCTGCTTCAAGTCTTGCTTCAAGTTCTGCTTCAAGTTGTTCTTCTTCTTCGTCGTAGAAGACTTCATAGTAATGTTCTTCTTCGTCTTCGGCGCCTGGCTGCGATGGGGGTAGTCCACTAAGCGCGCCACGTATGCATTGTCGACAAATAGGACAGTAATGGGCCTTTTGCATACCGCTATTGACCCAACATTGTAAGCAGTCTCGGCCGAAAACGTGACTGCAATGTGTGCCTAGAAGCTTGATAGCTACATGCTGATCCTCGTCATAGTCCCCCTGGCAAATAGGGCATTCTGAATCGTGAAGTGTTTCGGAGGCGGACAACACTATGTATCGCTCGATCGTAGCCGGGGGAGGCGCGTTGATCTCAGTCCATATCGATCTTAACTGTGTCATGGCATCAACTATGTGTTCGAACATCCACATCTCGCAACTCTGTGAGCCATCCTGGGACGGCTGGGATGTATGATCGTCGTTCTGCTGATGAGACATCTCGGTACCCATGATGGATTCTGTGCGAGTTATGAATAAGTGCTTGAAGGTTGTTGTCGAGCTATGTTAGTGTGGAGAAAAGGTACTGCAGTGCTTGGTACAATTCTTATAATGCTTCACCGTGCATGAAGCGCCCACAGGCTCAAAGTCGACAACACTGTCCAAAACTCGAACCCATTGTGAACCTACCGACTCAGGAGTGAAAGCCTGTTAGGCCTCTCTTTCCCTCGTCCAGCTGGTGTTGACAGTGTTGAGACGGCAGGAGCGATGAGACGAGGCTCTATGGAGTCGCGCAACTTCGCAATGATTTCGTTATGCGAGTAAAAGCATCTGCTACATCGCCGTTAATAGCGACATAATTAGAAATTGCCTAAGGCTTAGTTATATCTAGAGTATAGTAGTTATATAAGTAAATACTTATTAGTAAGAATATATTTTAGTAAACTTTATCTTTAAATACCTAGCTATATCTACTTATACTTAAAAAAACTTAATTATTAGCTACTTTTAACTTTTTATTTTACTTAATACTACTTTAAAATATACTACTATAAGCTACTTTTATACTATACTATACTAGTAAATTTAATAGTTTTTTACTTAAGTATATAAAGAAGATAAGTAAAAATAAATAATACTAGCTATTTACTTTTTAAAAATCTTTTATATTAAGTAAAATAATATACTTTCTTTATTTAGATATATTTACTAATAAATTAAAGCTACTTTTATTTTAACTATAAGTACTATTACTTTAATTTTAACTATAATAAAACTTTTCTACTAACTTATATATTATTATATAGAAATTTAAATCTTAAGTAGTAATACTTATAGCTTAAAAAGCTACTAATTTTAAAGAGAAAAGAACTATTACTAGTACTCTAAAAAATATATAACTAAATCTTTTACTTACTTTTAAAAGTATAGTATTAAGTAAGCTAAAACTTAGAGCTTTAGTACTACTATTTTTAAAGTAGTTAAAGCTTCTAAATCTTTTAAGCTTATAAAGTAGCTATTCTAATACTAAATACTTTATAAAAAAATTATAATACTAAATACTTTATAAAAGAACTTTATAAGAGAATTATAATCTAATTATATACGCTTATTACTAATAAAGTAATATATTTTAAAGCTTTATAGTTAAGATATATATACTAAAATCTCTTTTAGTAAAAGTATACTCTTTCTATTTTATAAGTTACTACTTTTAGAAATCTAAAGATATATTAAAAATATAAGTAGCTTAAATCTAATACTAAATACTACGCTAGTTAAATAATTTATAAGTCTTCTTAGTACTTATAAAAATAAAACTAATTTCTTACTAGTTACTTTACTTTATTTTATTTTACTACTTTACTAAGAAGCTCTACTAAGTTACTTTATTATTACTTTATTAATTACTTTTTATATAACTATATTACTATTACTTACTAAAGCTTTTATAAGTAGCTTAGAGTTTATCTAGATAGCTATTTTAAAAGGTATTCTAGTAGCTATTATATAGAAATTTATCTATTTAATATTTAAAGCTTACTCTACTAATACTATTAAAGCTTTTATTATAGCTCTTATTATAGCTCTTATTATAGCTCTTATTATAGCTTTTATTATAGCTTTTATTATAGCCTCTATTATAGCTTTTATTAATACTATATTATAAATATATACGTTTAGAGTAAGACCTTCTATTATTCTTTCTACTAGCCTTAATTTTAAGAAACTAGTTATTAATATATATAAGTTCTTTAGTAGAACTAAAAACTTTATTTACTTAAACTAAGCTAGTACTTATTCTCTTACTACTATTTTAGCTACTAAGCTATTATTATTATTATTATTAGTTATTTTTAATATTTATACTTATCTCTTTATATATAGAGTAAGATAGACTATAAATTTAGATTTAGCTCTATCTAATTTTATAAATAAAGCTATAAACTTATAGTATAAAGCTTTAAATTTAATACTTAATAAGACTAAAAAAAAATAAAATAAAAAAAAAAGTATTTATAAATAGTCTCTTAAGTACTAAGATAGTTAAGTAGTGTTAGAGCTAGAGATAATTAACAATTAGAGATAATTAAGTATATTATATTTTATTCTACTACTAAAGAAAGTTAGAATAAAATCTCTAGCTATATATCTAAGAGCTAAGTAATTATATATCTATAATTAGCTAATTACAACTACTCTCTAACTTTAATATACTCTCTAAAGTAGTAAAAGTATTAATTTACTTTACTAAAATTAATTCTATTAAATCTACTATAATTAGTATACTTTAGTAGAGTTTAGGCTTAAGAATCTAGAGTGTAGTAGTAGATTATAGCTTAATTAAGTATTTAATTATACTTAATACTAATAGTAGTAAGCTCTTACTTATTTAAATAAAGCTTAATAGCTTAGAAATTAACTTTATAAGTTTAGAAATTACCTTATAATAGTCTAGAATATAGCTAATAGCTATAGAAATCTAAGTATCTAACTAGTAAGAGATAATTTTAATAGTAAGATCTAGGCTTCTAGTCTCTTCTAAGTAAGATTTATAGCGTAATTAAAAGCTTAATAAGCTACGCTAGCTACCTATATAGATGCGCACTTAGACTAGAATTAAAGACTTTATAATAATAAGTCTTCTAATTCTTTTTTTCTCTACTATAATTATTTACTTCTATAATATTAAAATACTTAAGCTAATAAGCTAATAAGCTATTTATTTAATTAACTTTTCTACTTAAGATTTTTAGCTTTTAAGCTTTAGCGCTCTTAAGTTTTATACTTAATTCTCTACTTTACTTAATATACTACTCTACTTACTTCTTTATTACCTCTATTACTATAGTAAGTTCTTACTCTTATACCTAAATTAATAGCTAACTATTATAATTTAGTCTAATAACTTAACTTTTAACTCTACCTCTAGCTATAAGTATTAGCGCTCTAGCTTCTACTATAATAGCGTTTTATACTCTAATTATAATACCTTTAGTAGTATATAGATATTAGAGAGTATAAAGATGTATTACTATAAGAACGTAAGGTAATTAGTATAGATAAGAAAGTATATAAATGTTAGTTTTATAGAAAAGAGTTTTATTATAAAGAGATTCTATTATCTAAAGTATTATATAAGAGTCTAATACTAAAAAGTATAAATAAAAGATAAGATAGTAGATTATAAGATAATCTTAAAAAGCTTCTATTAAAAGATATTCTCTTTCTAAGTAATTCTTAGATTATTAAAAATCTAATTTATATAAGAATACCTTATACACTAGTATAAACTTTCTCTTTCTAGTAGTATAGTTCTATTATACTATCTAGAACGTGTTAATTACTTATAGTATAAAGAAAAAATAAAGAAAAAATATAGAAAAAAAAGTAAAAAGTAAAATAAATAATTAAGTAGAGATATTAGTAATACACTACTATAGTATAGGTAGTAGATAGATTTTAGATAAAATAAAAAGCTTACCTAAAATCTAAGTACTAGTAATATTACTAGTATATCTAGTTTACTTTATATTTTATCTACTATAGCGTAGTTTAGATAAGCTAGTAGAAAAAGCTAATAGAGCTAGTATTAGTATCTTAAACTAAGAAGAAAGTAGTAGAACTAGTAGTAGTAATATTATTAGAGAGCGCAAGAAGCTAGAAAGTAATAATAAACTAGACGCTAGACTACTAGCGTAAGTCTAAGAAGTCTTAAATAAAAAGAAAGAAGTAGATATAGTATTAAGATTAGCAGCGTTATAGAAGTAGTAATAAATATCTAGTTTTATATTAATTTTATTAATAAAACGTCTAATAGTATCTTTTATACTATAATTATAATTCTAAATATACTACTATCTTTTATAAGAAGAAAGTATACTCTTATTAGTAAAGAAGAAAATATCTAGATATTTACTATTAGTACTCTTAGTAAAGACAGCCTTTTTAAGCTTCTTAACTACTAGCTATAGTATCTTAATCTCTTTAATAATATACTTATACTCTTTCTAGATATACTTTAGAATACTATTTTTATTCTTACTAAGAAGGTTATAAATCTTTTTATATATAAGAGAGTTGTTCTAGAAAACTTATATAAGAATAGCTTTCTAGATCTAGAAGAAGAAGTTAATATATATATCTACTAGAAATATCTACTTAATACTACTATACTTATTATAATATCTAGATAGTATTATAGAAGAGGCTATAAGATTATAATAAGTCTTTAAGATCTTATTATATATTTCTATAGCTAAAATCTTTATAATACTCTAGTATACTATAATATACTATAGAAGAATTATTTAATAGATCTTAGTTACTAGTTCTATAGAGCTATAGAGCGTTATAGAGTAAGTAATATAAATATCTTCTTTTCTATAAATAAACTTCTTCTACTTTACGTCTAGCGCTATTACTTATACTTCTTACGTCTAATTAATATTATTATACTATTCTTTAATAAGACTAGTAGAATTCTTCTTAGTAGTCTTACGCTATTATAAGTATAGCTCTATATATTAATAGAAGCTCTCTAAAACCTCTATATAGTTCTAAAAGTTCTTATTATTAATTAAGACTAATTCTTAGATTATATCTATACCTTAATCTTAAGCGTAAGTAAATAATAGATTAAGATTAATATAGTAGAAGAATATCTTATTACCTAGTATAGTGTACTTAGCGTAGTAAGAG